TTGCTGTTTTATAGCCTATGATATATTCTCTAATAAGATCCGTTCAAAAGTTTTTCGTAAAAGAGAAAAAAGCACCTGGCCTGGCTTTTTGTTTAGTTAGCTCCCCCGCGATTTCACTCGCTGCTCGGCTCCATTTGATTGTAGCGTGATGTTTTATAGCCTATAGCACTCGGGAACATTGTAGCTATCAATAAGTGAAAGAATTTTGAGGATCCGACCAGTGGTTCCAAAGATTACCCCCTTCATACAAACTAACAAACATACAAACTTATAAAACTTAAAAATTGTACCTCTTTATACCTAATATTAGTTTAGATAAATGTAAAAAACTTATAACTTATCAATTGTGATGTGAGACATCAGCGAAAAAATCACTGCGGTGCTAATTCGTTACGGTAAATAATTATTTATGAACAAATTCAAAAATCACTGATTAACTTTCAAGATCATACATAACAAATTGAATATAATTCTAAATTAAAACCAATTAAGCATCAAAGTATTAAATGAATCAAACATTCTTATCACTAAACACTATAAGTATCTACATAAAAATATATATCTAACACAATTTTACCTAATATGATTCCAATTTAAACACAGTAAAATAAAACTTAAAAATTAACAAAAGAAATAAATTTTACTCACTCCAACACGGGATCCAAACTTCCTTGCGGCTCCCACATGATTACACTTCAAACTAAACGAAATAAACAAAACAATTACATAAACAAACAACAATACATTATGTATAAACAAAAATACGGCGTAACCTACTGTCTATGGCGACAGTTTCCGAACTACTGAGTCGGCATGACTGGAATGAATTAAAAACCTGTTATACAGGTACAAACTAGCGGTTAAAACATTGAACCACGTTTTTCTAACTATTTTAAAATACACTTAGTATCTAATTAACTTTAAGTATAACTATGGTGTGCAAAAAGCTGATCATCATCATCATCATCATCATCAGCCCTTTTCAGTCCACTGCTGGACATAGGCCTCTCCTATTGCACGCCACTGGGATCGATCTGATAATAATAATATAATCAAAAAGCTGATAAACTTTCGAAAATGTTATTCATAACAGGAATTACTTAATATTACAGTATTTATAGTTTTAGTAATGTTAAGTATTGTTTTAAGGACCTTGAATTTTGATTATATAACAATCTGTTACCGGTTGTTTAATGTATTATGTAAATAAATGACACTCAAACGCAAGCACGGTCGAAAATACGAGTATAAATGGAATGTGTGTACTTAATATGTTTGGGTGAAGTAAGTGCTATGTAATATCTGATAAGAAGTTTTGTGTGATAAGAAGATTAGCACCTCCGTTTCGGAAATATCCTGTTGCAATTGTAATAACTGGGTACAGTTAATACGACGATAGCTAAAACGAAAGTATCGAAGTGCGTAGACTGTTATTTTAATAAGACCCTTTTTTAATGGGACAAGCAGCCGCAACCTCCCAAAACCGCTACAACTCCTGTAAGCCAGGATCTACAGTAGATACAACCATGAAAACACCGGAACATTGAAGTCAAGCGCGTCCCAGGGACATGAATGACTGTTTTGGATCCCGCAACGAAATAAATCAAGGATATTATTTAAGGAGAAGAAAAAACTAAATAGTTTCCACTTAAATAGACCGTATAGTTCATTAATTATGGGTCCTAATTTTGGAGAAAGACCTCTTCTCATACGGAGAACGAATCTCATTTCTTCTCTATTGATCTCCACGCTTGCTCTAGGAGATTTCCAAATGTTGACCTTCTTCGCAGGTTAGTGACGTCTAAAGAATGAGACCTTATCAGGTTTCGCACTCGCACCCTAAATTTCATGCCCCCTTTAACACCATCATCAGCGCAAGACTGACGTTATGTACCAGCTATATAACGTCTACCTGTGTTTAGAAGGTATAAAACTTTAAGAATCTCAATTCATTAAACTGAATGGGTTACTCACGTAAACTGTTGAAGACGTCCCGCCGTTTCCGACGTAGCTTGAAACTAGTCGTGTAACTGTTCCTCGTCTAATTTCGTTGGAAAGTAATATGATAAAAACACAAATTATGATTTAAAAATAAACCGTGTCACTGCTTACAAGCAATACCATAAAGATATTGATCTAAGTTTATTTGTTTTTGAAAAAAGAACAGATTTTCGATTTTCCTAGCTCGAACTATGATCTAAAACTTGATTATACGTCGAAAGTATAATAGATTACAGTGCAATGGATTTAATATAGGTACTTGTATCTTCTACTACTTAATTAATGATAACTGTGTCAATGTAATGCGCCACAAACTGCATAGCGAACAAGGAATGACAACACGCGTGATTGACTTATTACCACCTCATTAGAATGTTCATCACGACTCAAATCCATGATATTTTATGCAGTGAATACTTCTTGTGTAATTACCTGATGGTAAGCAATCAGCACTGCCCATGAATACCCGCTACAATGGGGATTTACGAGTAGGTTGCCGACCTTTTGAGACTAAGGACTTGGGCCTCCGGTAATCTCACCTCACCTCACACGGCGAACCACAACGCTGTGTTTCAAGCCGGTGTCAAGAAGTAGAAATCCCTGGTGACTTCTCTATCGGCGTCGCCTATTGACGCCCGCAACGACAGAAAGAGTAACAAGTGCGTTGGTGTGTTGCCAACTTTTTGGTATTGGGAATGGGGGATTGGGGAGAAGAAAAACGATGTAGTTTCTTTCACGCTGGTTTCCTATAAGGCCGTCATATCACTCTGATCGAGCCGGCCCATTCGTGCCGAAGCATGGCTCTTCAAGGTCCTACATATGTAGATAAAGATCAAATCTTTTGTAAGTACTGCGATCTGCTGACGCTTGACGGCAGACGGACATTAGTGCAAATCCTTACCAGTCGCCAGTAGTTATTGGCTGGTTTTTAAAATGTTTTTGGTTGGGTAAATAAAATACCTTCATACTTAATTAATATATATTTATTTGGTCATATATCCTAACTTAAGTGATATACACGAATCAGAATCAGTTAACTTGTGATCATAGGACAAGATTCGTCAATAATAACTAAGAAAGCAATTTTCACAGAATATTTGTATTAATTGTAAAAGATACATAACACGTATTATTGCTCAATAAACTATCATATATTTTACCTTTAACAAAAATATTACAGGTATTACTTATTGCAATCAGCTGCTAAGGCCCTATCTAATTAGGATACATTGCTCATCCAACCAATAGCTTAAACCATATTATTTATAGAGACACCGAACATAAAATATAATAGTGCTGATTCAGTCGCCGACGACGACTACCACGCGACAAGTTGCGCGACCAATTTGACAACGAGCGAAAAAGAGAGATGGAACTATAAAACGTGTATAGCTCCATCCCTCTTTCTCGCCCGGAAAATTGACGCTTTTACACGTCATATTAGGCAATCAAGGCCTTATTACAAAACAAGGTTTTACTTTAGTCTAGGACTAAACCATTGAGCCAGTCTTTGTATTTCGAATTGAAGGTAGATGACAATAAGGTTCAAAATTCAAAACTCGACTCAATGGTTTAAACCTGGACTAAAGATAAATCTTGTTTTGTAATAAGGGGGTTAGAGTTTTCAGCCAAATAGAATCAAAAGGATAGTTTAGAAATAGAACAGAAACATGAATATAAGGGTTTTTTAAGGGCAGCGTTACACTGGAATTTACACATTTAGTATACCGTTTATACTAAAATATTCTCCATACAAATGTATCAATTCTTTGGTCGAGCAACCATAGCGTCGTAAAGCAAGAATAGGGCTCACAATATGGTTTGTTACATAAATTCTATGACAATTCAACATTTATTAATGTACAAAAATAAGTATATCTTCAGTATATAATTTGAGTCTGTATCACATATGTAATTACACTAATTACATAACTAGAAATGAGGGTTCAGAAGTTTGGAGTATATTGGTGGGTTTTAGTGTTTTTTTTTTGTCACAAAAATTAATGGCACGGTATTAACATAGATGATATCTGATAGAGTAGAATGAAAAACTTATACCTATAATCAAAATCAAACAAAAACAAGAACGGATATGATTCATAAAACAAACTTAAAATAATTTCTCATGAAAACAATCATATTTAGTTAAGACTAATAATCAACAAAGACTTTAACAATAATTTGCAATTATGACTCAAATAATAGCACAAAAGTACTTACTGGATTTGTTTTTACATGACCTAAGCATAACATATTTTAACATAACCTTGGAATAACAAAAGTTGAAAGAAACTAAAATAGGCAATTTAGTTTCTCAACAAAATATTCTGTTTGCTATAGTTTTTGTTTATATCAAACTGATATATAATTGAACGTATTTATCATACGAAATTTTAGTCAATTCAGGGCTGATTTTTCAATAGTCAGATAAATGTTATGTAAGGAATAAAATTGTTGCTGTCACTGTCTTATACAAACATTCCGACGCGACAGCATCATATTTATTCCCCAGGTAACTTTTATCTAAGCATTGAAAAGTCAGCCCTATGAACAAAATAAGGAACAATTATATGGTTGAAAATCATTTAATTAGATTTTACCCTCGGCTACCGTTTACAGAACAAAATAGCTACTAAAGAATAATTAAAGTGATCCTTAAAAGTCTCCGAGTACGGTAGTAATTATTACTAAATCTAATCGTCATTTTGTACTAAGTTTTGCGCCATTTTCTTTAGCAACGATGTTCTACGTATATCGTAGGCGGAAGAAAATAACTAATTTATTGAAAACATCCTTATACTAAAGCTAACTATATTAGATTTTTAACTGCGCTTTGACACAGTACTACCGAAGTTATAGTATGAACACATGAAAAGTACGGTTATTCTTTTTTACAGATCTCTTATGAACCATTAATCAATTTTAAATTAATATTCGATTATGAAATAATCGCCCTCGACGTTTAAGACTACAACTGTATCGTTGATACGATTATATGCTAAACTTAAAACTAAATAATACAAAAAAATAGTAGTAAAATAATAACAAAAAAAAATGTAATAATTACGACTGAAGTCCTTGGAAATCTTCTTCCTTATCGCGATGAGAGTTCGAGTATAAATGTATGCGCATTGAGTGCAGCGACATCGCTTTGGTGTTGCATAGCTTGCAGGTCAACTCCACGCTTGAAGCACTCGGAGTCCTGTTGAACAAAAATATTTAAATACATTATTATGCAAATGTTATAAATTTATCGCCCTTGCTTTTCTGATCGGATGTTCAACTACCTCGCTACCGACGAAAGGGTCAATATATCCCAATTTTAACATCTATTTTTAAAAATCTATCTTACTTTTCAATTTACTTTCCCTGCTTTAAGTGAGAGGGAGTGTCAGAATTACTGTCTAAAAATTACTCTGTACCTTTCTGCTCCAGGCCTGGGCCTTGGTGCATTATTACACTCCCGGCAATCTATAAAATATTTCCATATCATCATAGCTTGTACTGTAGAAATACTGTAGATCGCGTGTCATATTAGGCATAATATTACAAAAAGAAGTAAGTGGTGTTATTACAAAATGACAAACAGTAATATTAAATTTGCCTATCGTGTGTAATAGGATACAAATTGGTATAATTAACTTATTATGTTGTAATAGACAGATAGTGGCATGTTTGCTGACGGATAGCAAAACATGTATTTTGCAAGGGAAATAGTATTTTTTGTCGACATTTAGTTTGATTAGGGTTTCGTGATCAAATCATCTTGCTGGTCATAAGATGCCCTTGACCCCTTGTAGTAGGCTTTTTTGTGTTTTTGACAAGATTAGTTCATACTTCGAACCGATACTAAGGAAACAGCCGACATGTTATGTATGACGTTATAGTATTTTTGACTAAAAACCTAGCACACTACACTATTTCTCAAATAGCTAGATAAAATCTAAAATGTCGTAGGAATAATAGAGCGTAATAAATTTATAAGTATTTTAATGTTTATTTTATTTTTTACTATTCAACTACATGGACCTCATGACATAACAACGTAATAAGGTCACAGTTGCATCTCTATCTATTTTAAAAAAAGAAAGAAACATCAGCTGTAATGTAAAAAGTGCTCTAGCCCTTTCACGCCCTCTACCGTCTCTGTCATATGGCAAACTTAATAGAACACATAATTACCTGGAAACAAGCAACTTAAGTTCTTCAGTATCCTTCTTGAGTTGCAGTAGATGGTCCCTGGTGACGGGCAGTAGTTCCTGCGGGGCTAGCAGTGGGTAGAGTACTGCGCACTGCATCATGTCCGGTACTGAGATCTCCAGAAGCTCTGATTCGGCGACGGAGCGCCACTCCCAAGTACGGGACACGTATTCTGGTTCACGATGGCGACGGCGTTTCGTTAGAAGGCTGAAAGATAATAAGACTTTTGAATTTCTTATTTTATTTAGGACAGGAAACGAGCCTATGGATTCCCTGATGGTAAGCAATCACGTTGCCGGCTCTTTGGGGATTAGGGTTTCGGAGATTTAGGGACTCAATCTTTCAATTCTGGAGGTAGAGTGGAACGATTGGGTCCCCGGTAACCTCACTCACACGGCGACACGCAACAGTGTGGTTGTTTTACGTCGGTTTTCTGTAAGGAATTGGTATAAGTACCTTTAAAACCGACTCAAACGCGCCGAAGCACGACTCTCTCACACTTGCTGTGTCTAGTATCATCCGTTAAAAAGTAATAATTACGCCTTATAATATAACCACTCATAAAAATATCACATTAAATAAAAACAATCAGACTATCATTCAATAATTTTACGATACAATTAGTGATCATATTTTTAGATAATTTAAGAGAAATAAATATGCTGTCAAACAAAACATTTCACCGAATCTCTCTCTTAAAAAAAAATATGATGGCCCAACGTGCTTCACTCAAAAATCATAGTCTTTAATATTTCGGAAAATGTTTTGACATTGACTAAACGGAAACTACCCAATTCCTGTGTAGTTGCGGGCGTTAACGGACGCCACCGCTAGCATACCACCAGGTTTTTAAATAAAATTCTCGTGTCAAAAATTTATTAGTTACTATATTCCCCCGGAGAGACTTTGCTAATTTTATTGTGTTCTTTTTATGGCAAAATAACTTTTGCAGGATTAGCTAGTATTTCATGAGCATCAGTAAACAAAATTGTAGTGTGATAAGTCATGAACTAATGTAATAATGTAAAAGTGTACTTACGCCAGCAGATCCTTGCGTATGAGCTGCGGTACTTGCGGCTTGAATGTATCCTCGGCAGTGGGCTGCTCCTGCCCGTCGTAGCAGAACATCATGTAGTCCATTAAGTGACGAATGTGGTTGATCTGGTCACACAAAAAATGTACATTGGTGAAAACATCTAGAAATATTATTTTTTAAACATTCAATTTCACATAGACATCACACCCTGAACAGGAACAAAAAAATGACGATCACACAAAGAATATTTAAAAAAAACTCCGTGAATACTCTTTTAACCTTTTGGCCGCTATGGTCTGCTATAGACGCCAAACGAAAATTAGCCAACATCGAGCATTGTCAACTAGCAGACGTTCTAATAAAGTCATTGACTGCCGACATATTACTGTTGAGGGCAAATCCTCCGCTATCTGGCGCTAATGTTCTACCCCGTGGCGTTAGACGTGTTAAGTATATTTGGTTTGTCGACTATAGCCAACTATAGCGGTCATAGCAGAGCCGTGCTTCGGCACGAATGGGTCGGCTCGACCGGAGTGATACTACGGCCTCACTGAAAACCAGCGTGAAACAACTACAGCGTTGTGTTTCGCCGTGTGAGTGGGGTTACCGGGGGCCCAATCCCTTCTCCTCCCCTATCCCTTTCCAATCCTTAAATATCTTATCCCCAAAAGGCCGGCAACGCACTCGTAACTCCTTTAGTGTTGTCCATGGACACATGGGCGGACGGGCGACGATTGCTTACCACAAGGTAATCTGAAAGCTCGTTTGTCGACTTATCAGATAAAAAAATGTACTTACAAGACCAATGTCCTCTACGTCGAGATCCGCGTCGATATCAATGAGCAGATCATGCTCGGGCAGGTATGGCTGGCCCGACTCCGTGCTGCCCAGCCCGCACAGAGCGCACACGTACCGCGTGCCCAGCGCGTTGCGGCGGAGCTCCGCACTGACGGTACCAGATTAGTAGTAGGCATTATTATTTTACTGAACTTCATATCCTTTCAGATTGGATATCAGAATTTTACATTGTCTGGACTTTAAAAGAGGAGTTTGTTTCGACATTTTTTCTTAGAGTAGTCAGACAGAAATTATGTACGTATAAAAAACTTCATGTAGTTTTTATTCATAATTTTGACGTGTAAAAAAAGCTGTTTTATGGCCTATTTGCAAAATAAATTCATTGTTTGATTGATTACAGTACAAAACAGCACCTGGGCGATCAAGCACCGGACGGTATATTTTAATTTTTTCTAAATTTCATTCCTAGTTAGTTAGATCTTAGATCGATTAAAAAATTGATGCGACGACCTAATCGTCAACATGATCGTCGTGACAATGATCGTCTAAATATAAGCAAGCTGTCTTGGATTCTTCGCTAGGAAGTTATTGGTTTTTTTTTGGTATTTAAAAGATTTGATAATAATCGTATAATATTTTCAAGTACTTACACGGGACAGAAGAGTAGCGCGATGATGGCGGGCAGGCCGGGTATGTTGGGCATCAGCGTGGTGTGGCGCAGGGTCAGCCGGGACCTCTGCTCGTTGCTGCCCACGTCGCCTGCTACTAGCAGTCTAAGGGGATAGAACAAGTACCAATATTATTTAATAGTAGAAAATAATAACATTAATTTTTGTAGTGTCATGGTGGCCCGAAGGTTACCGCGCCAGCTTCCCATGCATAAAGGCGCGGCTACGAAACCTGGCCGACCATCGACCGGAGTGATACCTCACAGAAAACCAGCGAGAAACAATCACAGCGTTGTGTTTCGGCGGTTGTGAGTGAGGTTACCATTTATTTAGGCCAATCCTTCCCCACCTCCAAAAATCTCCCAAGAGATCGGCAACGCACGCGTGATTCCTCTATTGTCGTGGTTGTTAATGGGCGGCGCTGATTGCTTACCATGAGGTAAACCGTCTGGTCGATTGTCGTCCTATAACATAAACAATAAACACTTTGAATGTTACCTTTCATATCTCTCCTGTGGGTCAGTATCCAAAAGGACGGAGTTGACTGAGTTCCACTCTATAGTCACGGGTAAGTCACGACTGGCAAACATCAGATTGTGGACTGTCGTCTCCAATGGGCTGTCGAAAGAAAATATTTGATAATTAACTAGTTCTACTACAAGAATCTCCTCTAATCAAATCTCTGATATGATAATCAAGAAAAAAAAAATCCATGAGGAGTTTTTTTATTTCCCTTATCCCCGCTCTCCAATCCACAAAAATTGACTTGGTGATGCGGTGGCGACTGGGCTGGCTGCCGTGCAACATGTCGCGAGTTCGATTCCCGCACGGAACACCTCTTTGTGTGTGCCAAAAATTGGTATTTATTTATTTATTTAACACTTTATGTACATACAAAAAAATACATACAAAGGCGGACTTAATACCCTCAGTTCGGGGTCTGTCTGGGTGTCATGTGTATAGTATGTTTGTAAACGCACCCACGATACAGGAGAAAATTTTAGTGTGGGGTAATGTTAAATAGAAAGTAAACTAGCTAGTTATTGACGATCCATTAAATAAGCTGATGGATCGAGGCGTAGTGTTTCACCGTGTAGGACTACTATAGGCCCTATCCTCAAATCCCAACCACCAAAAAAGTATTAATAAATAATAGGGAAAGGTATGTACTTATATGTATCTAAATAAGTATATTTCTATGTAATAAGAATATTAATTATTATCAGTCGCCGCGTCGCGTGTCGCGGAATGCTGCTCATGAATATGGGCCTCTAGCATGGCTTGAAACTGGTCGAGTATCTCGTCAAATTATTACATGAGTAAGCCGAAAACATAATAATTAATTTAGAATGTCTCACGAAAATTATAATAAAAATAAGAATATTATACCAGGATCACTTCGTTATCTTTATCATTCTTCTATGTCTGATGTTGCGGTCTATTGGCAAGGACGATTACGTACTATCAGGTAATACGTCTGTTCTTTTGCCACTCAAATCTATTTCATAAAAACCAATACTCCCTAGTAAACCTAAATATTTTAAGCTTCAATCTTGCTAAGCATAGAAAATAGAGCAACTATTATCTAGAGGACCCTTTTAATACAACAGTCTAGCAGGTTTTGGATGATTATTTTGAATTACCTGTAAGGTCCCTTAAGACATACATCGGAGTCGCATTCCTTAGTGCTGGGCGGTTCGATCTCGTTCAGTTGGTAGTAAGCCATCTCTAACTGTTCCCTGTTGTGGGCGCGCTTTTGTACCATGTTCATGTCTACTGCCGTCTCTCGAATGTCGTGGTTTAACTGCGGAAGGTAATTTATGTAATCTTTTGTTAGTAAAGGGATTGTGAGAACCACGAAAATCATCTAAGCCTCGAAAAAAAATTTAAAAAAGGAGTTCAAAATGTTTGCGCAAAGCCATCAGTGGTTGCGCAAAGTTGCGCAACTTTATCAATCCTAACAATATAAAGAAGTAAAATATGCAATGTGTATCTTTGTATGTAGGGGATAATCTTTGGAACCGCTAGTCGGATTTCCAAGATCTTTTACTGATAGACAGCTACAATGTTCCTGAGTGCTATAGGCTATAAAAATAAAATAAAATCACGATACGATCAAGTGAAACCGCGCGAGGGTTTCAATAGAGAGAGTTTACAATAGAGCAAAAATGTAATTCAATATGCATGTAATTTCTATTTTCAATATATTTTAATATTACCTTAGAGTCGTAACTCTCATCGCAGGAAACAGCGAAACCTTGTCTGATGAGCTCATTGTTAACGTTGAGCCGCCCGCCTTCCGCCAGTAGCTCAATATTCACTACTCCATGTACTACGGAATAGACCTAGAACGAAACGTTTTGTTCACTACAAATCTTTGTTTTATTCAAGTATGTTCTAAAACGACACAACTATTGCGGAAATGGAAGTGGAATGGTTATGAGATACATTGGTTACTTTATCAGAGATTTCATTAATAGAACTTTATGATAAAGCCATAAAGTTAATAATGTATATATGAGATTTAATTTCCAGCCCTGGTTGCGCTGTTGATTGCGCTTCTTTCGCCCAGGGTAAGGCAAGAGAGTGTATCAGACTCTTGCTCATCAAAAACCCCACTGTTCCTTCTCCTGCTCCAGGCCGAGGCCGCGGTACCTTATTGCGCTTGACCCGCGACCCTGTCTAAGCATTGGCCATGTTAGGCCCATCTGTGGTGGTCTATTGGCTGGAATATAAGAAAACTAGAGTTTCAATACTGTTACATTATTACCTTGGCCAGCAATCTGCCTCGTGATGCGAGTAGTACGAAGCGTTGTGTGGCGGCGGGTGTGTAGTGGCCGTGCGAGTCCAGCAGTGGGCTAGGGGCCAGCCCCGCCAGCCGGCACCGCATGGCCAGCGGGGGCGCCACCCGGGCTGCGGGGGGGACTCCGCGCAGGTTGCATGAGTGTACCCGACCTTCACTGCCGTAGTCTATGTACAGAACCTGTCACATACAATGTTTTTTTATTTAAACATGAAGCTGTGTTATTCTATTATTTAAAAATTAAAAACATCAAAACAAAAGTCGGCATAATCTATGGTCTTTGATAAAAAGGTCTCACTGAATTTACTCCAATCGAAATCCACATACGAGTACAACAATTTTGAACAATATCTTAAATCCATCAAAAATGCTCAATGCTCATTATCATATATCATCAAGAAGTGCAAAAAAGATTTTTTTTAAAACAGGGACCAAGAATATTGTAATGTATAAAACATTGATATTTAAATAATTGGCTTGATTTTTCATAATTTTCTTTCTGCCAACTGATTTTAGTGTGTAATTTATGTACGGTAGCTATATATTGACCATATAATAAATAAACATCAATCTTACCAGTATACAAATGAAACTATATTATATTCACACTATAAAATAAATTATATTCACAATATAAAATTGAATAATATGTACAATAAGTTTACCTCAACCATTTCCCTGGGCAGCAGAGCCATGACTCTAACGCGACATATCTGCGTGGACCCAGATTCAGTGTACGGAGCCGCCAGTATGTCCCCGGCGTTAACAGGCGCCGTGTGGGCCAGTAACGTCGACTGGTTCAGCGCAGACTGGATAGCGTGCAATTCACGCGCCGTACTCTCGTCCGCGTATTGCACATAGAACTTGTTGATACTCGTCATCTGAACCGACATATAGTCAAAGTTAAAATAATTTATTCCAATCTTCCCTTCACCTTCCCCAAACACTACCCTAATCCCCAAAAGTCGGCAACGCACTCGTAACAACGGTTGTTGCGGTAGTCCATGTGAAACGCTGACTGCTTACCATCAGGTAAACGTAGACTCGTTTGCCAAGCTATCACAATAAAAAAAAAAACAAAATAAACCATAGATAGGTACTTTTGTAACGTCAAAATAGAATATTATTATTGTCTACTATAAATGCCAGTCAGTTCGTCAATGAAACTAGCCATAATATTTGAGTAATGACACTTTGGTCAATTTTTTTATTATTATTATTATTTAATTGGTCGGCAAACGAGCAGACGGATTAGGGATTTGTAGATTTAGGGATTGAGGAGGGATTGGGGGAGGGGAAGGATTAGGCCTCCGGTAACCTCACTCACACGGCGAAACACAACGCTGTGGTTGTTTCACGACATTTTTCTGTGAGGCCGTGGTATCACTCCGGTCGAGCCGACCGTCGTGCCGAAGCATGGCTCTTCCACACTTTCAATATATTTTTATTAAATGACAGACAGACAGACAGAATGATTTATTTTTTATGTGATTACTTAATTGTGACGTCATATTTTGGATTTATTTCACTTCAATAAACATTCTATTTTTATTTTTAACACTATAAAATAATGACACTGAACAAAAAAAAGTAATGTAATCAAAACTAATCATAATTTGGGCGATAGAAAACAAAAATACGATTAAAGAGTTACTCGACTAATTTCGTTTTTGCTCGAAAGTCGTCGGGTACTCCGTAAATGTATACACATATTAGTTCATATTTCATTCATAGAAAAATAGAATAAGAAGGTATAATGGTCAACTTACTTGAGTAATTTTCAATGGGAAATGTGTATCGTCGACTTCGGGGAGGCGGGGTACCAGACGTTCCAAATCTAACGCCATCTTGTCCAGCGCATGCGCTGCGGCCAATGTTTCTGCCTTCTCCCTCCTAAACAATACAGTAACTAACATCACATCATCAGCCTTTAAGTATCCACTGCTGAGCAAAGGCCTCTTCTCACACGGATAAAGTTTGAGCATTAATCACCACCCTTTCTAAAGGCGGATTGGCGATTTAAAACTTAGAAAATAGAAATTATGAGTCCAGCTTTCCTCACAAAGTTTTCCTTCGCCCTTTGTCAGTCAATGGTGTCTAAATAATCATAGAAAGAACATATAACTCGGGAAAAGTCACATTGGTTCTTTTCATTGACATTGGTATTCATACGTGATTTGCGACCGTGACGAATTATAATATTACTATTTTTAGAATAACTGTGGTGACGGCAGAATAGGATGCATTTTATCACCTCTTGATTTCTTGACGTTCAAAAGTGCCTAATGTGGTCTAACTGAAATAAATGATTTTGACTTTTGACTTTTGTTTTTGACTTTTTTGACTATTATTCTCCCGGGTATCAGATATTATCCTACTTCGGGGTGACCCGGTCTCCTACGGCTCTCGAAACTTGTGACAAGAGAACCGACTAATGGCCAAGATCGAATCTAAGTCCAAAATCTTTACATATAAAAATGGATCGCAAAATGTGTTGGTAAGCGCATAACTCAACAACGCCTGGACCAATTTTGCTAATTCTTTTTTTGTTGTGTTTGTTATTGTCAGGAGAAGGCTCTTATCAAAGAAAATATTAGAAAAGTAGAGGGGAAGATTAGGAAAAAGTGACCCTTTGATAGCGAGATAGTTAGACCCATGCGAAGCGGGGGCGGGCCGCTAGTTTGATATAAATTTATAACAAGTGTCGAACAGACTTTGGATTAGCATTGTTGAACAATAAATTTTTGAATTAAACTCTTACGCGTAAGGGACAACGTACATCAGAGAGACATTTCAATGTTCCAACAAGATTTTGAGTAATCTGTGGACGCAGTTCTAGACTATAATTTCAGGACTTTTATCAATATTATATAAATTTTGTCATTTCATTTTCATGGCTTATTAATAAATACTTAAATGGAATTTATAGTTTTTTACGTGAGCAATAGAATTTTGTATAATATTTATGCTTACGGCAGTAACGGTATCCTGACGTCGATCCGTAGCTGTCTGGCTTTCACAGCTTTGTACACTGGTAGGACCACTTGCCCAGGAATTGTGGGATCCTAAAAACAACAGTTTTTTTTTTATTTTTTTTAAACTTTGCCCCACTTTAGGATTTTTTCCTGTGTTGTGGGTGCGTTTACAATCATACACTGTCACATACACATCACACCCAGACCCGAAACAACAATTTGTGGATCTCACAAAGTGTTGTTCCTTGTGGGAATCGAACCCGCGACACGTTGCACGGCAGCCAGTTGCCCAGCCACCGCGCCAACCGTGCAGTCAACAGTGCAACAACAATTAGGAAAATCTTGTCCAATTTTCGCGTTAAGTCGAAAAACTCTCAAAAGGAAACTACTGAACTGCTTGCTGCAAACTTGGTATTTATGTAATATATCATAATAATATTATCTAAATAATACTATCTACATATATTATCTACATATTATGTACTTAAATATTCACGTAAAAGCCTTTATTTAGACTAGCCAGTAGAGGCATTGAAAATTACCATACGAACATTGAATTTCCATAAATTACTAATATGTTATGAAAAAAAATATTACATTTTTAGACCTACACATATTGCATATGAAAATAAAATTTCTTTGAAATCGGTATAGAAGTTCCTATAATTTTCGGCTTGAAATTTTAACGAGCGTGTTGGATCGTAAAGATAATGTTAGAGGTATAAACAAAATGTGAACTTACTCCGCTATTTTGTTTGCCAGGTTTAGCATCGGATCCATCGCTGAACGTCAAATACACCTTCCTGTATAAAAGTAAAACATTATTAAAATCGATTTTCGCATCTATAGTCGCGAATATAAAGTTCAATTTCTAATAAAAACATCACTGCAGCCTGACCTAATTTATATTCAAATCAATTGGGTAGGTACTTTTGTCGTCAAATGACTTCTCTCGCCCAGGATGAGACGAAAGAGAGTGTCAGACTCTAACCGACGGAGGCGGAGCGCGTGAGGGAACTATCATCCTCGTGCCCCAGCTGCCGCAGTAGACGACATTCCAGGCGTCTGGATCGAGAAATGATCTCCGGTCACCTTAAGCGCAGGTCTGCGGTCGGCGAGTAAGGGCAGCTCGCCGCTCGACCAGAACCAGGCCCGAGCGTGCGGCGCGTATCGTTCCGCGCGCGCCTCAAAGAGCCAATAGACCACCACAGGCGGGGCCCTATAGGGCTGATGTTCAGCCGGGGTTGCGGGGTAAACGCAATGAGGCACCGCGACCTCGGCCCAGAGCAGGAGAAGGAACAGCGGTGTCTTTAGTCAGTAAGAGTCTGACACTCTCGCCTTACCCTGGGCAGAGAAGCCATTAGATGATTTTCCCCTGACAAAAAAAAAAGACTGACTAACCCCCCTCCCCTTCTTTCCTTCTCTAGAAATAATTTACTTTTGTAAACTACCCAATTAGATCGCCAGACCACCTTGTGGGTGGACGTCCTACTGCTACAGCGGCTTTCATTTAAGAACATTTCTGTCCCATATACTCGTACCATAAGCATCATCGGTTTTATCAGCTATTCCGAAACTTACTTGCTAGTAGTATCGAAGGTAACTCTCGGCTCTTCAGAAATATGCTTCAAAACTGCCTTCTTGATAGCACCCGCGTACACTTCACCTGGTTGGTCATCCGGGAAGTTCTTCAAATACACCTATATGGAGAGCATTTTTATTAGACATTAGCTTTTCGTTCGCGTGGTTACAATCTTCTCGGAATCCACACTACGAATGTGTATTGAAATAATAATTACAAAGATAACTAGATTCAAGCCACTTAGGCTCTAGTCGAAATATCTCAACAACCATTTATTTGACCTGCCGTTAAACATAATTAAATATTACTGGAGGTCCAATTGGAGGCTCCCTTTCTCAATCTTCAATTCCCGCATCTCTATATCCCTAGCAACCTACAAAAGGGCGGCAACGCACTTGTAACCACTTTGGTATTACGTTTGGGCATAGGCAGGGCAATTGCTTACTATCAGGTAATATAGGTAGGCAATTAAACTTTTATTTTATAATGATAGAAAGTTAAGACCAAAATTAAACGTGCGACGCTAAAAAAATTCTAATACACAAAAGCCGCTAGTCGCATTCTAAACTAGTTACTTTCACGCGGTTTCACCAGCTGCTTGGCTCCTACAGTATATCGTAGCGTGATGTTTTATAGCCTATAGCCTTCCTCGATAAATGGACCAGTAACACAAAAAGAATTATTCAAACTTGAACCAGTAGTTCCGGAGATTAGCTCGTTGGAACAAACTAACTCTACAGCTTTATAATATAAAAATATTATAGATAATAGATAATAAATCAAGAAATATAAATTATTTTAATGTTTATATACGTACCGTATTCCTAGGATCATTGCCGCCGAGCGTGCGCACTGCGTCACGTTCCCGGCCCTCGTCCTCCGACACTTGTACAAAGTACTGCGGGTAAAACGCGCCAGCTATTATCACCTGCGGAATAAAATATATATGTTAGTAACTTTTCCACTCCAAATCACTGGGTAACACTAATTTTAAATTCAAATCACCCATGCCTGTGAATCCAACTTCGATATGGAAGTGCCATTCTTCAGCATTAATGGACCGAAGAATGAAATGAAAATATTCTACCGGCGTGCCACGTCACCGAGGAAACAATGCTTACGTTAAATTTGCCGAATAAGTGAATTTATTGGCGGTCCACACACATCATATTTATATATATGTACATTTTAAATATTATACTATGTGCTTACTGCCGAGCAAAGGTCTCTTCTCATACGGAGAAGTTTTGAGAATTATTCACAACGATTTCTCAATGCGAATTTGAAACTTATAATTGGAAATAATAAGTCACACGATGTTTTCCTTCACCATGTATCTGTGGTGTCTAAATAATCATAGAAAATACCACCGAAATTCGAGGTCCAAAGTCCAATCAGCCCAAAATCTCAAATACCAACCCCCAAAATCAATGCACTTGTAACTATGCAGGTATACTTACTATGCAAGTATAGTATGTGTCTAAAAGCGGCGCTGATTGTTCACAATAAGGTACGCATGTTCTTCACCAGCCTATATAGTTATATACTACAAAAACAATTATATAAATCTATCCATTTTACACTTTCTCAGGATTTTTTTTAAACATTTCTCTATGTACAAACCTTCTCTGGACTTCCACGAATAATTCAAGACCAAAATGAGCCAAATCGGTAAACGCATTGTTGAGTACTAACATTACAACGAAAAGTGGCATTGATTTTTATACACACGCGTTGCTGTAAACTAAGGTTAATAATATTGTCACTATAAATTGAGATGTAAGCTATCCTATCTTTCAAGTTGGATCAAAATGTATACACAAAATCGGTTTAGTAGTTTAGGAGTCCATCGGCCAAACACGTGACACGAAATTTTTATATATAAAGATTAACAAACCTTATAGAGTAGAGAAAGTTCATGTTTATTCCATGGCGACTTGCCGTTGGGTGGGTCGATGCCTAGCGTAGTGAGTCGCTTTCTTAAGTCTTTCGCTAACTCGTCGAGCTCGCGTAGAGCCCGGGCTTGTACGTAGAAACGCCGAGCCCACGCAACCTCCGACTGGCCGGCCGACCTGAAGTATTGTTGTTGGCGAAGGTGGCTCCATACCTGAGAAGTTAGAGCATATGATATAATTATATTGACCTCGAAACAAAATCAGGGAAAGAGAACCTCCCCTCATTATGTTATTAACTATTAAATTCTGATTCAATGTTTATTACAGTCGTTTTAAATGTTTAAATAATATTGCAATTTCATTAACATATTGTTATTTTGAATAATAATATTTTAGTGTGGGAGAGCCAAGCTTCGGTACGAATGGGTCTGCTCGGCAGGAGTGATACCACGGCCTCACAGAAAACCGGCGTGAAACAGAACCGGAGGCCCAATCCCTCCTCCTCTCCTATCCCTTCCCAATCCTTAAATATGCGAAATCACTAAAAAGCCGGCAACGCACTTGTAAACCCTTTGGTGTTGCGGGTGTCCATGGGCGGCGACGATTGCTTGCCATCAGGTAATCCGTCTGCTCGTTTGCTGTCCTATCACATAAACAAAATCCATTCAAACATTCAAATGAACAACGCACTTTTCGCTCTTGGTGTTGCGGCTTACCATTCGGTAAAAGGAAACCTCGCTGCTACCACAATAACAAAAAAAAACATAATAAAATGGGACACAGACACCGGGGATAGGCCACTAATGTCACAATAAACTTACCTTATAAACGTTAAGGAACGCGATACAATCGCTAGTGGAGCCGTCAGCCCAGGTCAGCTTGGAGTTGTAAGCGTTCAGTCTCTCACGGAACGGACTACTGAACAGATTCTTCACCGACATCGCTGCAGCTGTGACGCAACAAACCAGTTTATCGATTAAAACGTTATATCGATTAAAGCGAATCGACACAATCCTTATAATAAGTACAGAATGGCCCTCATTCTGAACTTCGCGTTATTTATGTTTTTCGAATTCTTTAGTAAGATTAACTTGATTGTGATTTTTGTGACCGAGGATTTGATGAATAATGATTCAATGTTTATAATAGTAGTCATTAAAATCTTTTTATAATTTTGCCCCACACTAGGATATTTTTGTGTGTCGTGAGTACAAACTCACACATCACATCCAGACCCGAATCAACAATTTTTTGAATCACACAGTCATCAGCATCAATCATACAGTTAAGACTATCGAGCTGACTCGGTGAAGGTTTAGGGGACAGATAGTAGCCGGGGTTGCGGGGTAAGCGCAATAAGGTACCGCGACCTCGGCCTAGAGCAGGAGTAGGAACAGGGGGGTTTTTAGTCAGTAAGAGTCTGACACTCCCTCCCGCCCGACCCTGGGCGGGAGAAGTCATTTGATGATTTTCCCGTCACAAAAAACAGGGGACAGATAGTAAAGTTCCTTAATATCGGTAAAGGAGGATCCTCCGATCAGGCGAGGTGGTCGTGCCAGGTGGGCTACTGCACAAATGTATTAAAAATAATAATATTAATATTAACGTAATCATTTATATATTTTTACGTAATTTACTACTACAGGCTACTAGCTTCATAATGATCTTACCAATTTATCTATATTCCTATTCCACAAACACATACCCATTGTAACAGCCTCTTCTAGACAGCCGTAGATGAAGCCCAACATGATGAGCTTGGACAACTTGACGTCGACCGGTAGCCTGGCCGCCACGCGACCCAAGTACGTCAGCTCACCGTCCGTGGCGCACCATTCGTCGTCCACTGTTTTCTTCATTGCTCCTATCTGTAATTTAGAGGAGTTTGTATAAATTCTAAGGATTCATTATCATCAGTCTTCTGTTGAGCAAAACCTCTTCTCACATAGAGAAGATTAATGCTCAAACCATTGTGCATTGGCGATTTCAAACTTGTGAAAATTCCGCGTTTCCACACTTTAGGATTTTATTATGTGTCGTGGATGCGTTTACAAACATACAAATTCACATACACAGGCCACCCAGACCCGGAACAACAATTTGTGGATCACACAAAGTGGTGTTCCGGGCGGGAATCGAACTAGCGACACGTTGCACAGCAGCCAGTTGCCCAGCCACTGCGCCAAACGTGCAAGCGCTTATATAAGTGATGTCTAAACAATCTTGGATGGTACTTGCAAGGTTTCGGAACCGCACCCATATACATAAGACGCGAGTGTTTAAGTCTTCAGGCCACTTCGACATCACGACGTAAATATTGTATTACTTCTCACCCACAGTACCAAAGAAGTTACAAGTTTAAGAAACAGTATCATCATCATCATCAGCCTATAAATGCCCACTGCTGAGCAAAGGCCTCTTCTCATACCGAGAAGGTAAGAGCATTAATCACCACGCTTGTTCAATGCGGGTTGGCGATTTTAAACTTATAATTAGTAATTATAAGTCCAGGTTTCCTCACGATGTTTACCTTCACCGTATGTCAGTGGTGTCTAAATAATCTTAGAAAGTACATATAACTCGGATAAAGTCACATTGGTACTTGTCAGGTTTCGAACCCACACCCTCATGCATGAAAAGCAGGCTGCTTAACCTCCGGGCCACCACGACATCACGGCAAGAAACAGTATACAATGATCGAATGGTGCCCAGCGTATGAAGCTAAGCCAACCATGATGTTACAACGAACTTTTATTATTTCGGAGGTTACTAGGCCAAAAAATGTTCTAGAAGTCTGCTTTCACACTACTGGCCTGAAGAAAGAATATTAAATACAATAACTGCATAATATTTTAATGTTAGTTTAAGGTAATTAAGCCTTTGACTGCCGACTGAAAACTATTGAAGGCAAATCCTCCGCTACCGTAGGTCACCGGTGACCTACGCGGCGGTTAACGTGTTAAATATAATTTTACCTCTTTAAGTGAAAGTATGGTGCGCTGTATGTTACTGATGTCTGGAGGGTCCATGGCTAAAGCTAGCACATCGCTCGGTGGCCCCATGTCCATTAATTTGGCTAATAGCACCAATCTCTCTAAGGGACATCGGATTATTTCAGGCGTGCATTCTTGTTTTAATCCTTCCTGTAAAATTATTTAAATTTATTATAGTTTATTGTACACAGCATAGTTATATAGGACAACTTATAGCAACATTGTATGCAATAGGCGGTCTTATAGCACATGGCGATTTCATACAGATAAATTTTGGTCACTACATAGTATAAAACAAAGTCGCTTTATCTGTCCCTATATTATATTTTAAAGATTAAGTCTTTAAAACTACGCAATGGATTTTGATGCGGTTTTTTATAGGTAAGAGTGATTGAAGGGGAAGGTGTGGAGATATTCAATATCAGCATTAGACCCGTGTGTAGCCAGGGCGGGTCGCTAGTGGATTATAAATTCGAATATGAGTCAAAAATATTTAAATAACTAACTATTACTTATAAAATACTGTACACATATAATTACGTAATTAAAATAATAATGAAATATTTGATACAGGTCAGGGCACGTGAAGTTCTACATTAAAAAAATATCATAACCGTTACATTCCTTCTTAAGCAGTTTATATAGAGAGCCTCCATAACACAAATTAAATCTTAGCTTGGGTGCCAAGGATTCCCAATGGTTTATTTAACAAGTAATGCTGTACAATTTTGTTATTCGTATATTATAATATACATATTAGAATTTACATGATTTAGACTAAGTCAAAATTGTAACCTTTGCTAATAATTTATTTATTAACTAGCTACCGCCCGCGTATCCGCCCGCATGGTATGCTGAAAAAAGCCTATGTCCTATTCTGGAGTGTATCCTATGCCTGTGCCAAATTTCATCCAGATCCGTCCAGCCGTTTTGGCGTGATTGAGTAACAAACATCCAAACATCATTACTTTCGCATTTATAATACTAGTATAGCATAGCTATCTTAGCTATGTTAGTTAAAAAATGTGCACTTACGTAGAACTTGTCTGTGACAAGTCGGTAAACACGGCCGTCACGCACTCGACCGGCTCGGCCAGAACGTTGCTCGCAGTTGGTCTTGGACGCCCAAGCGAGGCGAAGTGACGTGAAACTTGTCTCCGGGTCAGCCACCATCACTTTCATTAGGCAGTAGTCTATCACTGTTGGACAATGTTAAATTTTGTTACTAATTAGCCTTTTCTTGTTTAGTGTCGGAGAGCCATGATTCGGCACGAACGGGTCAGCTCGGCCAGAGTTATACCACGATCTTACAGAAAACCGGTGTGAAAAACCCCCAATCCCAAAATCTCCAAATCACTACCTAGTCCCCAATTGGTCGGCAACGCACTCCTAACTCCTCTGTTAGTGTGGGTGTCCATGGGCGGCGCTGATTGCTTACCATCAGGTAATCGTCGATCGTTTGCCGATCTACCTCATAAAAAAATAAAGGGGAGAAACCTTCATAGGTTTTGGCGTGAAAAGATGGGAGGGAAAGGGATTGTGGGGTTTTTACCTCACCTAAACCTCTTCGGTGGCCACCATACACCTGTAAGGAACACCAAGACTTCGTAATAGACCAACTCTACCACTACCTATGGAGAGGTACATGACGTCTTTAAGCCTCACTGTGCATGGCGGCACGTGACCACTCCGTCTTTCCTGAAGTCAATGGGTGGGCGCCTAGTTTAAATCTCGTCTCTTACGAGTCGGTCCCTCGTGTCTGAGGATCGTGGTCAGCATCGGGGTAACATCTGGAACGGATGATCCGCCTCCACCGGTTTCGATCCAGCGCATCTCTCACCACCGCGAAGAATCCGGAGAACGATGAATGTTTCACTTGATCGGTCCATCTGGTTGGTGAACGACCATACGATCCTTTGCCTTCGGTGTTCCCAACAACAGTCAGTTTTTTTGTTTATCTAGTTTAAATAGACTTACCATATTTAATATCAGGTACAGTGATGGAGCTCTCAGCGATGTTAGTGGCGAGTATGACCTTTCTGTGCCCTTTCTGTACTCGTTGGAACACGCGAGCTTGCTCCTCCGACGTGATGGTCGAATGTAGAGGAAGAACGTACCATTTGTACGAACGACACTCTCTATCGCAAATTTGCTCTCTGTAATTTGGAAATAAGAATTATTTTTGTTTGATCTTCTATTTAAGGATTAAATTATGAAATCTACAAATAGATAGAAAGATAGATTATACAAAGTGAACCAAAAAGTCAATCTCCATGGCAAATCATCCGATAAAAAAAATCGAACATCAAAAATCATTGAAACTAATGAATGACTGCACGGTAGGCGCGGTGGATGGGCAACTAGCTGCCGCGCAACGTGTTGGTTCGCTTCCCGCACGGAATAACTTTTTGTGTGATCCACAAATTGTTGTTCTGGTTCTGGGTGTCATTTTGGAGTGAAATTGTATGTTTATAAACGCAAACACGACACAGGAGAAAATCTAAGGCTCTTATTTAAAACTTTTCCCCACGAAAAGTTTAAATAAGAATCAACTCTAATGAAAATCTGTCAAACATTTTCGAAAAAAACGAACGTGATGTTTTTAAGTTAGTTATAGATTTTCCCCAATCAAAACAAAAAAACTATATCTCTAAAAACTTTTTTTAACTATAGTAAACACTTTTTGGAACACAACGTTTGAGTATAAAGTTTCTCTAAAAGTGTCACTTTTGTAACGTCATATGGAGTAGTGGTCTGTCAGTCTGTTTGTCAGTAAAGTTACGTGCTCATTCCAAATCGTAGATTCGAATGGAGAAGAACGAGCAAGAAACTCCATTAAAATGGGTTCCATCATTTCCTTGGTTTTTGAATTAAGTAATTGGCTGCAAACCGTGTCCCTAAAACTTTTTTAACTTTCAAATAATAATAAATACTAACCGTAAATTAAGGTCCGTGAGACAAGCGTATAGGTCCTCAATCTCATGGATACCAGGCAGAAAGATGAGAACTGATGGAAGCTCTGCATCATCACGATCTGTTATTTGGTCCTCCTGCTTGTCTATACGCTCGAATGCGTTCAAAAGCTTCAGAACAAGATGGTGCATCTCCGGAGCTATGGTTGGCTCATCACTTTTTGGCATGGATTGATGAAGAATCTAAAATTAAAAGACAGAATATAATATTCTTAAGTGCTATAATTACATTGTAACAATGATCCTATTATGAAATATCTAAGGATATGATCAACAGTCTTACCAGGACACTTTCGAATTCCGAAAAAAAAAATACTTTTAAACCAACCAATAAGTAAGTACCTTCTGGTGGGCAAAGGCCTTTTCTCTAAAGAGAACTCTTAAGGATTCCAGGGTTCCGGGTGCAAGAGAAATAATGTACTGTGGCCCAAGCCAGAAGCAGAAGAAGCCAGATGATGTATTTTAGTCAGTGAGAGGTTGACTCTCTCGCCTCACCTTGGGCTTATTTTTTTTGGGTCACCAAAAAGCTTTCTTATATAAAGTAAAAATTGTATGCTCATTAGAAACCAGTCGAGTCTGGTCTTAACAGCCCAACCAGGGCTAGGAGGCAAATCTCGTTAGTACCTACATTTTCAACTTATATAGTATTTTTGTTATTATTTTTAGGCTTTTTCATAAAGTTCTATTAATTTTATTTGGACCCAAATGTTATTTGATGATTTTCCCTACTAAAAAAACTGGTACTGATGAGAAGTGGTTGTTAGATTGTATATATTTATATACCTACATGGATAAAAAAACATGACTATGTGTAATTTTAGGTATGTTTATGTGTGTGTTGGAATATTTGTAATCATGTAAAGTAAACTTACAGAACCAAATTTCGTTAAATGATTCAAATAGAACTCTTTAACAGTGAACATTTGTTCTTGTTTCTCGACTTTGATGCAGGACGACATCTGCAGGCCTCTTGGGGTTGGTATCATGAAGTAGTCTGCGAAGGCCTGCTTGTTAAACGTGGCTGACATTAACACTACTTTGACCCCCGGCGACACTGTGTACAACAATCTCTTCACGAGCATTAAAAGGAAATCCATCTCTTGACCTCTTTCGTGAACTTCATCTAGGATCACGTGTGTGTATTCGTTCATTGTTTTTGCAGCAACTGAAAAGAAATAGTAAAATAAAATACTATTGGCCTGTGTGTACAAACAATGCTATTTTTATGTTTCATAAATGCATGTATACAAACTCTTTTCACATTACAAACTTTGAAATTCGTATAAAAAAAAGAATGCAAACAATATTAATGTTGCCAATATTAATGAATAAGATTCCTAGAACACCAAGTTGATTAAATGTATTATCATTCTCAGTAATGGAATCGGAACCTGACTTAGATCCCCAATGTTTGGCCATAGGCTTTTATTACAATGGAATAAAGAACAGATCTGGTGTAAAAAATTAACCAGAAGTCTTTGCATACTCCCAACGGGTATAACATAAGTAATTAGGCATAGGGCCGCAAGAGTTATTTCCAACGGGGAAATACTACGCCACGGCTTATCAGCATATTTAAAGCGTGAGCGCCGGCGTTCGTAGAAATAATCAACGACGCAACACGATCGAATGAAATGTTATTTTAAAATTTATCATAACCAAGCACTAACCTAGCTTTTGCAACAATATGCCAGTTGTGACGTAAGAAATTCGGGTGTCGCTTGAAGTACGAGAATCCAATCCGACCTGCGAAAAAAAATTGTTAAAATGTACTATAAATAATGTGCCGTAACATGTCTTTTTACTCTAAATTATTGTCTAATATTCCTTTCACTCATACAAACAACAAAGGTGGCTAGTACTAGCACTTCATGGTCGGAGACATACATTTGATACCTTTAGTTCTGCATTGCAAGTGTAACTCAAATAAGACAATGATTGCAGTGAGATTTTTACATATTAGGCAGTTACTATTTAGTCAACTAGTACATAAATATAAAGATAACTTCACCTGATAACCAACAATACCGCCAACATCCCAACCTCTTTCCTGTGCAACTCGTTTTGCAATAGATATGGCTGCAATCCTTCTTGGTTGGGTAACAACTATTCTACATTGACGTCGTGCCTGGTAACAGTCATCAAGGATCCATTGAGGAACCTGGGTGGTTTTACCACATCCAGTTGGACCTTCCACTATGACCACGGGAAAACCGTGGATACGATCCAGGATCTAGAATAAAGCTTTTTTTTTACTAACATGTTATGGATGATTTTGTACTAAGCATTTGGCGCTCTCTATCTATGCCAAGGTAACCTGATTTCTGTTTATTTATTTATATCGGCTGTGTGTAACATTCAATGACACCACTTAGATTTTTTCTTTAAAAATAATGGTGTTCACCATTTGTAGATCACACAAAAACTTGTTTCGTGCGGGAATCGAACCCGTGCAATGTGTCGTAGCACCCAGTGCCCAGTCATGGCGTAAATCGTGCAGTCACTTACATTAGATGTTTTACAAAAACCATTATATCAATCCTTTGTCTAATTTTATCTGCAGATCTGATAACTGGTATTGTGAAGTAGTGGAACAGTATGTATTTAAATATCTTTTCTATGTCACTATAATTTACCATTTTTAACATGTCATGTATTGTCATAAATGTGAAAGCATGAATTCATTGAAAATAATGATTTTCAGTAAGTTAGTTGTGCATTAACTGAGAAAATCTTAACTGTTATAATCTCATAAATATGAGCCCTATTGGGGCTTGAAATTAGTAGACCTTTTTTCAATTGTCCTTGTAATTTGTTATATTCAATAAATTTTGTGTTGCTCACAGTAGTAACTGTTTAAAAATTAAAACTATGAAGGTTTAACTATATTTCTAGAATTCCTTATTTAAATTAACTTTAGTAAAAAATTGCACTATAGGTACATCTTTGGAATGTAAGAAATGGACACTTCCTCTCTCCCCATCCAAACACACACAGTTTAAACTTCCCACCTAAAAAAACAATTGGGATTATGATACCCCAATAGGAATAAGAAGGGATATTTTCAAGGCATAAGCTGACCTGCTGCTTGTAAGCATTGATAGCCAAATTATTAGTATCCTCTTTCATTTGGAAGGAATACTTGTTGTAAACTTCTGTCATGGCTTCATCATTCAGCTCGTCGATGTTGGGAACCGAAACTCCAAAAGACAGGTGCTCCATAGATTCTAGACCTCCAGCCACACTTGCACTGGCAGCTTTTTCACGATTCAGTTCATTCTAGAATGTTAATTTTTTTTTTTAAAGGACAACATTGACATTGAAAATGAATGTTTCTGGGAGTTTATGATATGAACATTTTAACTTAAGAGTTACCAGAACTGAGAAAAAATATAAATACACTCCGGCAACAGTCTTGCTTGATTCCAATTCATAAAATGTGTTTTCTTAAATTTAATATTTCATTGGATACCTTAAAGCAACTGACTTAAGATTTTCATGAGTGTTGCTGAGTTTTGGAAATAAATGATAATAGCTGATATGGAGTTCTAAATAGTTTCTGATTCATTTTTATGGTGGTAGATCGCACGCAGCAGCTTTCTAAGCTGCTAGTGTGTTCAAATATAATATAATATATGTATATATTATGTATATGTATATGGAGGTGATAATGCTTTAATATATAATTATGTTTCTATAGATGTCCTTAGCATGTTTACTGACCAAGCACATTGTTTTCAAGAAAAATAATGCTTACCCGCAAATAAAGGTCGGTTTCCCGTTTCTTGACTTCGCGGGCATAATCGGTGCCGAAATCAGACAACGTTGAATGGCGATGTTCCATCTTCCTGCCAAAGCACTCGGGCTCATTATCTTCTTTAAGGATTCGAACTCCTCCAGTAAGAGGCCCTTTAAGTTTAATCCTTTGTGATGGGGTATTAAAAAACGCTCGAACTTCATCCATTGTCAAAGTTCTATTATTTAAATCGAATACTAAATAAAATAAACGATTAACTAAAGATTCAATTCGATTTCCAGAGTCTTAAGTGTTTATTTTTGCTGTGTTAACTAAATATGAAACCTCAGCTCAACCAAAATATGAAGTTCAAGCAAATATTTCAGTTCAAATGCAACTTCTTGTAAAAGTTACCATTTTTTTAACGTTTGAATTGACATTTGACATGTTAGCAAATAAATAAAACGTTGACAGCTGATGTTAAAATTAGCGTTCTGAAATTACCTTGAGAACATGTTTTTTAAAAAGAGCATTCGAGGTTTTTTTGTGAGGGGAAAATCATCAAATGACTTCTCCCGCCCAGGGCCGGGCGGGAGGGAGTGTCAGACTCTTACTGACTAAAAAACCCCTTTTCCTTCTCCTGCTTTGGGCCGAGGTCGCGGTGCCTCATTGCGCTTGCCCCGCAACCCCGGCTGAACATCAGCCCTATAGGGCCCCGTCTGTGGTAGTCTATTGGCTCTTTGAGGCGCGCGCGGAACGCTACACGCCGCACGCTCGGGTCTGGTTGTGGTCGTGCGGCGAGCTAGCCTTACTCGCCGACCGCAGACCCGCGCTTACGGTGGCCGGAGATCGTCCCTTGATCCCCGACGCCCGTAGTGTCGCCTGAGGCGTGAAGAGGTGGATTGCTCCATCACGCGGGCCGACTCTCTCTTTGCGAGCATAGTAACTGCTTCGCAGAAGGAAGAGACGGCGTCCCAGTTCCTCTCACTCCGCACCATAGCCTCGACTAAGGCCGCCGCCGAGGACACGGCGGTGCTCAGCCCAGTCAGGGCATACCGCCACCGTATGCTATACCGTAACCTCTAAGTGGTCCTCGCAATGACGACACTCGGGCGTTTCCTCCCGCTGGATCCGAAACAGGAACCTACCGAAGCTGCCGTGGCCGGTAAGGAGCTGCGTCAGGTGGAAGGTGAGAACGTCGTGGCGTCTCTCAAGCCATTACTCAAATAGGGGTCTTACCGCTGCTATAATAGCGCACCCGGCCCTCGGTTGCGACAGTCGCTGCTTCCACTGAGCCATGAGATCTCGCCGGAGCTCATTCCGCCACGCACTAATTTGGCGCGGCACAGGATCCTTGCCCCGGCGACACGCGTCTGCACGCAAACTGTAGACGCGCGCGAGCGCCTTCGCTTCCAGAGCATTCGAGGCTTGAGGTCATATTATACACCATGGTTTTTTTTAATTCTTTTTATCTGACAGAGGACAGACCAGTATCAAGTGACATGTGTCCACTTCCAGTATCAAGTTACATATGTGGAATATAGCATTAAGCTGGCCCTCTCGACCTCGCCTGAACACACTCCGCTAACACAATCATAGTAAATGTCTTGAACCACGCTCCAAACTCGGCACAATTTGGAGTGTTGGATTTACCCATCAGGAAAGCTTTCCTGACACTTGCAGCTGCAAGTGTGGGAGAGCCATGCTTCGGCACGAATGGGTCGGCTCGACCGGAGTGATACCACGGCCTCACAGAAAACGGCGTGAAACAATTACAGTGTTGTGTTTCGCCGTGTGAGTGAGGTTACCGGAGGCTGAATCCTTCGCCTTCCCTAATCCCTCCCCAGTTCCTAAGTCTCCAAATCCCTAATCCCTAAAAGGTCGGCAACGCACTCGTAACTCCTCCGTTGCGGGTGTCCATGGGCGGCGCTGATTGCTTACCATCAGGTAATCCGTCTGCTCGTTTGCCGACCTATCAAATTAAAAAAAAAGCAAAGCTGTTTAGTGGTTTGTGCCCGGAACGAAGTCTTAGGGCAGTCACAACATCTGATCTAGACAAACCGGAGTCTGCGAACCACGGTGAACGCGTAAGGCATGGCAGTATGGTCTCATACCAGATGCCTTTAGTTAAAGATCTCTCGTCAAAATACTCCTTGCAAATCTCCGTGTACTTTTCTCTGACCAAATATAAGCATTATAACTAGCTTATTATACATCATGTTGAACTTGAGAAATTCATAACAAATAAAAAAAACGTTTCTCATTTAGAGCAGCAACTGCAAATAGCAGCCAGGGTTGCGGGGTAAGCGCAATGAGGCACCGCGGCCTCGGCCCAGAGCAGATAAGTAAAAATTTGATCATTTTCCCTTCACTAAATAAAGCCCTCTGGTACACTCAATAGTAATATTAAGTGAAATCAAAGAGTAAAATAATACTATGGAAATTTGTGAAATTCTATAAGACTGGCAGTTCAATGTGATGAAAGCTGAAGATCGAGCTTAATGGGGTCATTAGGTCAAAAATTAATCCCACCGAAATCCATTAGATTTTTGGTGGGTTTATATTACTTGCAGTTGCAGCATTCAAGTACCTAGTTCGTAATAGTTCCAGTAGCACTTGCTATAACGAAGAACATTTTATTACTAATAAAAACAAAAACAATTTGTTAAATATTATTTATTACATACCATATTTGGCATAACAAAAATATTCAGATCATTTATAGAAGATATTTAACAACTGATAACCATATAATTACACAATTATTAATAATACTCATATTATGCATATTGATTTATATAATGATCGTGAATACAGACAGGCATCCTTATATGATTAAAGGAGACACAAAAGATTTCACCAAGTAATCATACTAATAAATGAAGTGCACTAATCGACTAGAAGATACAAAATATACTATTATACGAAATCACTAACATTCAAAATATTAATATATACTGGGTGTTTATAACTGCCTGTGCCTCTATGATACGATAGAGGGATTTGGCACAACCACAGATACATTATGTTGGTGGGTTTACATAGATCAATAAGGTTGCATTTTGGAATACAAAAAAAGAATTTCGTATGACAATAAAGATAATGAATTCGTAAAGTCACATTATTATTTATCTTATTATTTTTAAAGATTAACTAGTATAACGTAATACGACTTATTACCAAGGTTAAAATCGCGTAACTCAGTTCGTCGGCATAACTCGAATGTTTCTATGGTGTCCTTGGCATGACTTGAAACTAATCGAGCACTCGTGTCGAATAGTTACGTACGTTGTTTATGTTAATTATTTATCTGAGTGATGTAAAGTAGCAACACAAAGGATGCAAGAGATTTCCTGTGTGATAAAGGGCCATTGGTATCCTTATCAATACTACGGAAACCCACCAATAAACATACACAGATATAACAAAGCAACATATTCAGTTACAATTATTAAATGGAAAAATAATTTAAATATTACAATTTCTTATTTACACTATGGGCCATTCACTATTTGAGATGGACTTTGGGATATTTTTTTGACATTATACATTATACATTATGTAATTGGTTATGTAATCCAATGAGGTTTTTTATATATACAGGGTATTGTCATGTTCAATTCTATCAAATGATGAGCATGATACAAGATCAACTACTTTTACAAGCGATAGATATTTTTTCATAATTTTATGTAACTTTTACTTTTACTGATATTATTTGTTACAATTACATTTAAAGGATATTAAATTTTAGAATGATACATTTTTTTTCTACAATGTGTGTACAAACTCTTTTTTTATCTGTCGTTTTGATATTTTTTAAACCATCACCTTTTACATTGGTTTGTGATATGTGCAAACAGAGCATAAAGAACTTTCGAGATTAGATTTTTTGTGTGAGAAGGTAATAAACCTTCTTTTGGAGTTGAATAGAGATCAAGCTTGTAAGTACGTCGCAGCTAATATCATAATTACCGTCCAATCATAACTTAGGCCAGCGTTCCCCAAACTATGGACACATAATGGGCGAATATTTAGTGGAGCCTGGCGTTTTCAACAACCATCTGTTACATTTTTTTAATTTTGAGACCGGTCCTATTTTTGTTCCAGCATCGCACTCCACAGTACAACTTTGGGAACCACTGACCTAGCCTGTCTACTGAATGGGCAACGTTTAACAACCCTATTAGTCACTAATTTTGACGGTAATTTGGTTTTTGTAAGCAACTGCATATAAAAGCGATCCCTATACCCTTCTGAATGAGACATTCACCTACTCAATTAAACAGCCACCCATTAGCTAGTTATGTAGGCCACGAGTTGTAGGCTGCAGGCTGCTGGTTGTTGCATTAAGTTTGTAGGCTGCAACACAGATACATATACAATACCGCCAACGTATCTTGGCAGTCTGAAGTTAGCCGATTAGCTGCGCAGTACACAATTTTGTTCCTAAAAGATCCATTGCGCAGACAAACGGCTAACTTCAGACTAGCCAAGATACTTCGGCGGTACTGTACATATTCCTGGATAATAAATAATATTTTAAGTCGGAGGGTATTTCGATTTCTAGTTTCTATTGAGTGTACCTACTGGAAGATATCTTGAAAGGATATTTATGTGTATCTTTTCAATATTATCAAAGTTTTGGTGGCCATGTTGGACAGTAAAATACAGACTTATTTACGCAGATATAGCTCTTATTATCTTTTTTGTTAATTATTAAGGTTTCAGTTATTTCTGAAATTGTAAAATCCATTTTTTGTATTGAGGTCGATTTTTACCAGTTAGTTTTATTATTAAGCACTTGAAGTAGAGGCCAAAAATATGTTGGATAAGAGATTTTTCTTTGGTACATTTGTGATCTTGTTATATTGACTAGGTGAATCTGTCTTTACAACGTTAGGATAGTATACCTAAAGATATGTTGTATTACGTGTTAAATTCATATTAACATGACCTCTCGTCGAATGGTAAGATAGCGAAGAAAGAGTTGAGTACCTACCAGGTTTCTAGAGTTACACATTTGGGTACTATGATAATATTATGTTACATTAATTTAGATTTTTTAAAGACATTGAAATTATACGTAACTTTAAAAAATAATATAAACTACTGGACATACGTGACAACTGTTACCTAACGGTCAATGCCACAGAATAAAATGATGTCACATAAAAAAAAAACAAACAATTTTGTGCGACGCAATAAAATACCTATAAAAATTAACAGATTCACAATTCGATATTTGAAATTGAAACTAATAATATAATTACTAAACCATCGAATTTCGACTAATAAGGATAACGTTAGACGACCAAAATAATTTAAAACTAGAATATTACAAACTCTATTTAAAAAAAAGAGCTAAGGTAAGACGGTATACATTATATGCTAGTCTCCAAGAATAGTTATCTAAATCCTC